TTATATATATGGTTAGCACAGGGATTGTGCGATATCAATTTAAAATCTTAGTTGTTGAATATCTATCATAAAATCTAAGCATGGAATGCTTATGACAATTAGCAAGTTTACAGTCAATGTCAATTTATTTCTTTTTTCACTGCCAGAGTAGTGGGTAGGTTTTAGATTTCCCATTAAAATTGTCAATATAACTGGCGTCTAGTGACTTTATCTGTTCCACAATAAATATGACAGTTTGACAATGGTTGATCCATCAGCCAAGATACAAGATGGTGACATCATGGCCAATGGCATAAAATTCCCAAAGTGAGTTTTAATAGATTTTAAATGAATAAAAATTCAAGGATGGAAAATACTCCAATAATTTATCTTACTAGCCATAACGTTAAAATCAAATCGTTTTTTTGCTGTGTACGTTCATTCTTCGCCTTTCATGCAAATAAATGTTCTCGTAGTGAACGGAAAACCATCTATTAATATACGGTTACAGAGTTTGTTTCAAATACCATCACAAAGCGTTTAGTAATGTGGTTAGTCATACACCCGGGGGTCCGACTTGTGGAAATACCTGGAACCCATGTCTGTGAAAGGAGTTTTCAAAATGACCCTAAACACGTTTTAAAAGCTCAAAATTCCATACCCTTTTCACTGTTAGAAAGCTAAAAGATCTCACTATATTTGAGCTTTCTTACCCTTCAGTGTATAAGCACGGATTGATTATATGCCGTGATTGCCCGTGATCAAGAATCGTTAACCAGGGGGCCGGACGCTTTCCTCGTTTTTGCGATCATTGAATTCCTTAAAGCAATAAAAAAAACGATAATCTAATTTAAAAAACAACCACCCTTATCACGTTGGCAGTACCGGAAAAGACACCCTTTTTGTCTATTTTGACTGAAATAGTAACCCTAAGCGTGTAACGCGCGTTAGCGTGCTTTTCTTTAAAAAAACGCCCATTTAACACGTTTTCTTTCACAGACATGCATACCAAATCATTCTTTAAGTCGGACCCCCAAGGTCATACATGAAGAAATAAGTAAACAAATTTGGAGATCCGAAAACACACAAAAAATTGCAATGTATCTATTGATATGATACTGCTAAAACGGTGAAATAATTTTGCCGCAATGCGCTTCCTCCTAGGGATTTATCGAAAAGCAACAGCAAATTAACAGAGGTTGAAATTGTTTTTCTCGTAAACTGTTTACATTTCAAGTGGCGTATAACATTCTGTAATTATGTTTCAGTAATTAATGACTCGTGATTGTGACAAACACTATTGTTCTTTCTTTCTTTTTTTTTTAGAACAATTTAGAATACATGTCTGTAAAGTTCACTGAGACCAATATAAGAAACTTTCTGAAACATGTACTGGATACATTCAATGAGGAGACAATGGACGAGAGACTGTATACAGACAACCATCCTATTTTTGAAGTGCCTCGTAAGCTAAATTATTATTTCAAGATTTTCTGTTTAGTTGTAGTAATCCACCAACTAGTAATATTGCAGATTTGATTTTGAAAATACAGGATGCATTGCAACACCTGTGAAGATAACTTTCATACCCCATCTATGTCTTTGGTCATAGTATAATAATATATCACTTATTTTCAATAAATAGCTCAGGAAATTCAAGATGACCCTGTTGCTGAAGATGCTTACCTGATAAGAAACAAGAAATTCAATACTACCAGTATCCCCGCACTAACAGACAAGACGTTTCCAGCCATGCTTTCTGAAAAGAATCTTTTCTTGGTTATGTTTTATGTACAATGTAAGTAAAAACTCTGAACTACCATACAGTATTTTATCCATTAGAAGTTAGATGTTAGTCCTGCTTTTGTCGCCTCTTTTCATAACATTTTACCCTATAACTATAAGTACTCGTTGTTATGATAATGGAATCTTCCACTATGAGTTGAACCAATGCACAAGTACTCCAAGTTACCAGATTTTTGAAGGGAGTAGTTTTTGCTTGACTTTATGCCTCATGGAACTCTATTCTATTTTATGCAACGCAACATATAAATGTATACTGGAGCATTGAAATACCGGTACAATTTATTTTGACCATATGTATACAATAATGTCATTTATGTAAGCTTATGCACTACATGTACAAATGAAACAAATACAGTATTTATATATCTAAACACTCCTAAACTGTTTTGCATTATTTTAAATATCTCTTTTGATTTGATATCTGACAGGGGACCCTAGAACGCAGGTCTTCATGGAGCACTATGCAGAGGCAGGTAGAATGCTAGAACACATGACATCTGACAATACCAGCCCTCTCGCTCGGGTCAACTGTGCAGACTGGCCGGATGTCTGTGAGAAAAACGATGTTATAAGATATCCGACTTTCATTCTTTTCAAGAATCATAAACGAATGAGTGAATACCAGGACAGGCTGGACACCATGACTGTTGTCAAGTTTGTTAGTTTGTGAGTATTTTACAGTACTTCTCCCAAGTCATTAATCGTTATGGCGTTATATATTTTTGAGAGACTCTGACAAAAAATGGAACAAAAATGCATATAATGTGTATGAATTTTGTCTCTTGTTTTAGTTTTTTTCTTCGTGTCCTTTCTGTGCCGAAAAATATAAAATTACCATATTTCTAGCATTTGAAGCCTTAAAATTTACTGTGATTTACTTTCCCGATTCACCGTAGCAATGAAGTATCATACATTTTATATCACTATTCTCTGGATCGGGGCTGCATCATAGAACATTCTATGTTGCTCTGCTGCTGTGGAACACCAGTCAAAGAAGCCAGTAACAACCAAGAAGGTCAAGAAAACGGCACAAACTCAACTCAACAATCCTGAACAACCAAATTTATTTATGTTGCATGTAGGGCTAATCTAGTTCAGACAGTCTCAACAACTAGCCTAAATCACAAATTTTGGGGAGTTTTCGTTCGTTGTGGTTACCAGGTAGTGAAAATGCTCGGATGTTCATTCTCAAGAATATGGAGTATGGGGCAACATAGTACTCTGAAAAGAATTAAGGGCTGGAAATGAAATATTTAATCTCTTTAATTTAATGACGGGCCCTCATGCATCATTTAGTGATTTTCCTTTGTTTTTATACATGCACGACATTATTTTTCATTGTATTAGGGAATTCAAAATGAATTCTATTGAAATGCAGGTGAATAATTTTACTGATAAATTCTTTTATTAAACCTTTATTTAAGAGTCTTGCCCATGTATTACCCTTACACTACAAATTCTTGATATTTAGATGAACAAAAGGTTCCAACAAATAATTTAAAAAATCAGAGCAAATAAAAATAGGAGCTACCCCAATTTTGTTTCCTTGGAAACAAAGACTTGATGACTTTTCCTAAAACGTTGACAGCCATTTTTGATCTGAAAATTGGTCGAAATAATTAGTTTGATATCTTTTCAAATAGCTATTCCTACTTGGTAGGATTTCAGGAAACTCCTGTGTTAAAAGTTTGTTTAGCTGCCTCAATCCTGCAATGCCATGTGATGACATCATTTTGAAATTTGAGTTTTTTGTCATTATTTGTTTACCAATCCTTTTTAGGCACCTCCAACAAAATCCAGTGACTCTGACAACCAAAGCTGAAGTAACACAATTCTTGGAAGGAGGCATGGCGAGCACTGGGATGTACGTTTTAGTACTGGGTCTTTTCAAAGAAAAGGACACAGAAGGTATAGATAATAAACTAGAAAAGAATTGGTCGGTAAAATTTCAGAGATATGAAATAATAATTATTTTAATGACCCAGCTTACATTTTTGCTTGGGTATGCTTCTATCGGAAATATGTGAAAAAAACAAAAACAAAAAACACTTTAAATGCCAGCCATATCTGAAATATTCACAAGTTGAGTGTACTACACCTGCTTATACATAGGCTTGATTTATAGAATTATGCATACTAAATAGCTAATTTGCATATATGTGTCTGTATTCTGTAACATTTTATTAACTGGAAATTTGTCAACCATTTTTGTGTTAAAGAACTGAAAGCTTTTGCCACAGTTGCTTCAGATCTCCGTCATAGGTTTATGTTTGGTATAATGAAAGGAGGAAGTCTTGCTGAGGGGACGTGAGTATGCAAAAATGTTTTTTAAATAAATAAATAAATAAATATAAATAAATAAAATATGATTTTTTAACACATTAATTTTACTCCATATATCATGTGCACTATATCCGGTTGGCGGTGTGTTAACAATTGAAACATAATTTTAACATTGTATTTTGCATCATGGTGTTTTGGGGCTTTATATTTTTTTTTTTTTTCTAGATTGATGTGCAATATTATATTTCATTTCAACATAGACATGACTGAGGGTATTGTAAGGGACACCATTTTTCAGGTTGTTTAGGCTCGACTTGAGAAAAAAATAGGGCCTACAATAGTGAAACTAATAATATATTTTTTTAATATATTTTTTTGGGTTAATCTTCAGGGCACAATACTTTGGTACTGGTCTTTCCAGTGTTGTTATAATTAAAGAACAAGATAAAGATGAAGGCTTTACAGTTCTTAAAGATGATCTGACACAGGGTAATATAGCAAAGTTCATCGAGGAATCTTCGCTGCCAGTCTTTGTAAGTGAAATCCTACAAAATGAGGGAATATGTTTTGGGTTTTGTGCAGCCATCTATGCTGTCGTCCAACATCATTTTCTGGACAAAGCCAGTGTTGTCACCTGATTACTCATGAGTTACTGGTCCATGTTATTCATTTTTGATTGATGTGTCCTGCATGTCTCTCATGCAGACACATTGTCACTGATTTTGTTTAAATTTGGTACAATTATAAGGCAAGAGCTCAGGTGGGGGAATAGTTTTAACAAACTTTATTTTTCAGTCTCTGTTTTATGTTTGATGTAAAAAAACAAAAAAACTTACTCATGAAATCAAACGTGCAACTGTTTTGCTCCAGTGGTGCTTTGATATTGGTTAACCATATCTTCTTTTCTTTTTTTTAACACAGCCTGCTTTAGAACCAGAAAACTTTGTGGCTCTACGCTCTCTTAAGAAGCCCTTTGTCATCTTGTTTTTTTCGGTTGATAACTCCAAGGTGGAAGTGAGAAAAGTTATGACTGAGATGGCTAAAAGTAGACAGTTCAATGATTTTGTACTTTGCTACATGGAAGTGTAAGTATAGTTTATGAGTTTTTTTTCTCCATTTTTTTTCTTCATTTTTTTTATCATGTTACAGATGAATGGATGGCTATTAATTTCTTTTATCTGAGAGCACATCTAGGTTTGGTTAGTTCACTTCAGCGAACAGATTCATTGTGATAAAAAGATTTAAAAAAAAATATTCTGATATTGTAGTTCAAATGTTTTCTGAATTTTATTCCCACCTTATTAGTAATGACGATTCTTTTTTTTTGTTTTAGGGGTATGAACTCTAACTCTATGGGTTCATTTATTCTGCATTCGTACATTGATGAGCCTAGTCTACCAACCATTGTTACTGTCAACCATGACAATGGCAAGCTGTATAACTACCCTATGGGAAATGATTTTAGCAAGCAATCCATTTCAAAATGGTTGCAGGGCATATCAAGCGGAAAAGCTGGTCTACAAACTGGTATGTCCTAATTCTTTACTAAATTATATTTATGTTGTCACATTGGTGTATAAATATATATATATATATATATACTTAGTCTTTTAGTGATTTGCCTACAATATATATTGATTGTCTATAGTCATAGAATGCTGTTTAATTTATCAGCCATATGTCCATTCAAGAGTAAAATAAACTGGAAATTTAAAAAAAAACACAAACACACAATTGCAAAATTCTAGGTATATATACAACTCTTGATGTACTCGTAATTAAGTTTGAGCAATTGAATTTTTTTGTTTTTCATTTGGTGAAATGTAAAAATAATGTGTCATTACAGTATTCATATACTCCCTTAATAGCATACGTACCTTGTGTTGTACACTCAATTCTGCAGGATAGATAGAAACAGGGCAGTGTGAAAACATTATGCAGCTCTGATCACATGGTCTCATAAATAAATTTGCCCATTTTAGATTTACAAACTCCACTACCCGAACAATTTAATTTCAAATTCAACAGGTGAGCTTAAGGATGGAAAATGGAAACCCTTGTTGCCTGCTTATGATTTCCTTGCAATGATTGACAGCGAAGAGGCTGAGTACAGAAAGGAGGTAGAAGAGTCAATGGGAGGTGGTAGGATCCCCTCCAGAAGTGGTGGCACTGCTCCTAAACCTATTCCCATGCCGACTTCAGAGCCGGGAACCCCGCCACAACCATCCATACACACCGAGCTATGATGACCTCTTTCATATATAGTATTATTTATTATTATGATAATTATTAGATGCAGAATATCTTTGTTTTCAGTCATATACATGCATAAGCACATGTGCAACAGGGGTGAATCAGTTTGAATTTGTATATTCAGGGGTACCTACAAGTGAAAGTTGTAATGCTTTGCATCATGGGTACCCCTGATATTACATGTTGAACATATTTATAAATTTTAATACTGCAATTGTTGAGACCATGTCAGTTTTTTAAATTAAAAACCAAAAGTGTATAACTATAGAATAACATGTCAATCATTCCTGTTGCTTTAAATAGATCCTGAAACTATTATCTATGTATTTTCTTATCGATATAATAATTTACTCCAGTGAATATGTCACATTCGAATGAAAGTTTCTCTGAACTTGTATGTGCACTAGAGTAATAGTTAATCATTTTATTTTAGATATTCCACATATTTTTTTAAAATTATATTTATTGGTTTCAGATTCTTTATCTTAAAAAGCATTTTAATCTCGCAAGTTTCTGTCTACCGTCTATAATGCCTAAAAAAATTCTCTTTACTGACAGAAATCTCAATATTGTATTCTTAGCTTTGCAGGAGGATGAGTCAGTGAAAAGCTACTTGCAAAATTGTACCTGATTGGCTACCCAATCCTAATACTCTAATCAATCAGAGAGCAGCTTTTTTCTGTCTTGTATATATGCCTTGACTCGACTGCAGGAGAGGTGAACAGTGAAACAACTTGAATTTAGCAAGTAATTATGTGTGAATTGTTAAAGTTTTAAAAAAAAAAATTTAAATCAAGTTATACAAAATTTAAAACTACTTTGGCTAACAGATGCTTTAATGTTATAAAATAAATTGTCTAATTTTTTGTTGCGATTACATGAGCTGATCTATCATCATGTATAGTAATTCTAGATAGACAGTTTTGTTTTGTTTGTTTGTTTGTTTCTTCACTTGCAACCTTTATAAGCCACATCCCTGTGTATTAAATGCACTCTTTGTGATGTAAACACTATGGTGTAAATCACATTAGCATTGTGTAAATTCATATTGCCATGGTGTAAATGCACTTTGGAATTGTGTAAATTCATATCACTATGGTGTAAATGCACTTTGGAATTGTGTAAATTCATATCACTATGGTGTAAATGCACTTTGGCATTGTGTAAATTCATATCACTATGGTGTAAATGCACATTGGCATTGTGTAAAGTCATATCACTATGGTGTAAATGCACTTTGGCATTGTGTAAATTCATATCACTATGGTGTAAATGCACTTTGG